TGTAGGGAATATGGATGAGTAGGCCACCTGTAACAATCAGAAAAATGCAAACTTTATATGAATAAAGTTAAAACTGCAGACACGTTACTCGAGAATTAGAAAATTTGGCCAGATTTGATCTATTGAAAGTCACCTGGACTCATGAATGAGTTCTCTTGAACTTCCAAGGAACCATTAACCTGAGGTATACTCATCAAGAGTAGGGGTCAGCAGCCCTCGCTGACTTGGCTCATTGGAAAAAGTGTCAGCCTGAGGATTGAAGGGTCCCGGGTTTGATTCTGGTCAAGGGCCCGTACCTCAGTTGCAGACTCGATCTCTGCACCTGGTCAGGGCTCATGCGGGAGGCAACCTATCAATGTGTCTCTCTCACATCATTGTTTCTTCCACTCTCTAAAAACCAAAGGGGAAATATCCTCAGGTGAGGATTAACAAAAAAAGAGTAGGGGTGAGCACACTGACTCATGGCCAAAGTCTCACTGGCTGTTTTTGAATGGCCCATGACCTAAATTTTTAAAATATGTTTAAATGGTTGGACAAGTTAAGAGAATAATATTTTATGACAACATGACTGTTATATGAAATTCACATTTCAGTGTCTGTAAATAAAGTTTTATTGGCTCACAGCCACACATTTTTATTTTTTTACATATTGCCTTTGGCTGCTTTCATTCTACAAGGTCAGAGTTGAGTACCTGCAACATACAAAATACAGCCTGCACAACCTCAAATATTTACTATTCTTTTACAGAAAAAGTTTGGCCACCCCTGCTCTAGCACAGAGAAGTAATATACAAAAGGTTCTAATTATTTCTTCAAGGAAAATACAACATTTACATCAACATGAAAGTTGATGTCAAGCGACTTCAAATAGAGGTGATGGGAAACTATTAAACCATATTGAACAATATAAACTGTGAATAAAAAGAAATATATTTTTCTAGATGAAACACTGGATACTATTAAAATATTTGTAAAGTGTTTTTCCCAACAGAGTCCCAGTAGGATATGTTTATTTTGACAGTTTTTTTTAAACCACACGAGGAAAGATAATTTGTCAAGTATCGCCAGACATTTTAACAATAAGTTTCTTTGCATTTGAAATTTTATAGAAAGACTGGTTTTTAATTTTGGGGAAATGATGTTTGACAGTCCGTTGTCTACTCTCAAAAAAGAAACCCCGCAAATTTACACCTTCCAGGGGAATGTAATACAATTGTATATAATACAGTTGGATTTATTTAGCAGAACATGGAGTCCTAGAACACATTGTTAGAGAGTCAAGTTGGCCCAAATAAAGATGTAAAACTTCAGCATTGAGAAAGTCACCAAAAAGGTATAAAAGACAATTGGTAGAAAATATGTACAACTTATATGGGAAAACCAACAACAAATTATGTCATTTAGGAACAGAGTGCTATTACACATACAAAGCAATGGGAAGAAGTTGACAGTGTATACCAACAGGCCTGTCACAGTTGAAGAATTCACATGAACAAAGAAAATTTGTGAAGTTCTTAGCCATTACAAATTAAAACAAATTGGCCTCTCAGATGGGTCAAAATCTAGAATTTGGATACCATCCAGCACTGGTATCAGTGGGGAGAACAGGCACTTGTTCATCATTAGCTGTGTAAGTGAGTCTCATATCTTTTTGGAAAGTAACACAGCAAGACTTATCAACATGAATGTGCATTTCTCTTGAAACCGTCATTCTAGATCTGTTAATGTTATCCTATTGGAATAAATAGGGAGATGTAAATAATATTTATGGCAAATTGTTTTAATTATGAAAAAGGATTTCAGTGTCCCGCCAAGCAGATTAAATTGTAATTATTCAATCCTGTATTGTCCAGTCAGTATTAAAAGGTTAAGCTCTAGCCCTAACCAGTTTGGCTCAGTGGATAGAGCGTCAGCCTGTGGACTCAAGGGTCCCAGGTTCGATTCCGGTCAAGGGCATGTACCTTGGTTGCGGGCACATCCCCAGTAGGGAGTGTGCAGGAGGCAGCTGATCGATGTTTCTCGTCAATGTTTCTAACTCTCTATCCCTCTCCCTCTCTGTAAAAAATCAATAAATTAAAAAATAAAAAAATGAATAAAATAAAAGGTTAAGCTCTATGTGTGTTTCTATGGAGAGTTTTCTGTCCACAATCTATTAAATAAAATTTGTGATTTGCAGAACCTTATGTGTAAAGTGATCTTGTAGTCACTTGTAGTCATAGAGTCAAAATTAATACTGAATTGCATATATATATATATATCTTTGCATGTGCATGTATCTGCATGTTTGTGTATATATTTTTCAGTATATATGTTGAAATCTGTTTTTGTCTTTAACACACACACTTTTTCTAGCTCTTTGTTGGCACTCTCACATTTTTCATTCTGCGTTCTGGTGAACTGCCAGTCACATGCTTTCAGTTAAGCCAATCGGATTTGTCATCCTCTGGGTGTGATTGGAGACACCAGGACAGGGGCGGGGTCAATATCCGGCTTTCCGTGTGGCCCGAGTGTGTGTTTTTTTTTTCGGTCAGTACTCATGTTGATTGGGGTCCTTACGGTACCCACTGTTAACTACCTGGAATATCCCTCCTGGACTGGAAGTAGTTGTAATTGAGTCGTCCTCTGGCAACAGCCTGAAGCTTTCTGCCTCTCTACCTCTCACTCTGATCCATTAAAATGACTTCTTCCTCACATCCTAGTTTTGTTCTGTTCTTTAAATCTGCAAGGCACCTGGCATTCTTCCAATGTTTAACTTCCAGTTCTAAGTAAGAGTTATCATCTTCTGACCAAAGAAAGCTAGCTTGTATAGGAATTGGTACTACAGAATGATCAGACTATAGAGAAGCAGGATGTAGTCATAAAAAGTGTTCACTGTGCCCTGACCGGTTTGGCTCAGTGGATAGAGCGTCGGCCTGCGGACTCAAGGGTCCCAGGTTCGATTCCGGTCAAGGGCATGTACCTTGGTTGCGGGCACATACCCACCCAGTAGGGAGTGTGCAAGAGGCAGCTGATCGATGTTTCTCTCTCATCGATGTTTCTAATTCTCTATCCCTCTACCTTCCTCTCTGTAAAAAATCAATAAAATACATATTTTTTTATAAAAGTGTCCGCTGTAGGACAGTGATGGTCCAAAAATGCTCTAGTGTGTAGTTTTCCTTGGCGTGCAGGACTTTTGTTACGGAGAATGCTCTGAGCTATGTCCAAGGGTTTACTTTTCCCACCCTCTGCCCAAAGCAACAAGGTTCTCCCACACCCAGGTACCCTGATTTTTAGTTTGAGAACTTGATGGAGTTCCTGAAGGTAAAATCCATGCATCTTGCCCTAGCTGGCTTGGCTCAGTGGATAGAGTGTCGGCCTGGGGACTGAAGGGTCCCAGGTTGGATTCCAGTCAAGGGCACATGCCTGGGTTGTGGGCTCAATCTCCAGTAGGGGGCGTGCAGGAGGCAGCTGGTCAATGATTCTGATCATTGATGTTTCTCTCTCTCCCTGTCCCTTCCTCTCTGAAACCAATAAATAAATATATATATATATAAATTCATGCATCTTAGGGGACACCTGACGATATGCCAGACGCTTTTTTAGTTGGCTGGAGGACGGCCCTAAACAAGACCAAGAAGCTGTGTGCCGGCCAGGGTGTGACGAAATGGGCACAGGGGGTAGAGATCAGCAGCCAGGGAGACTGAGGGACAGGTGACCTACCCACACTCCCAGAGTCACAAATCACAGCGCACAGAGCAGCAGGCGAAATCTAAGCCCTCCTGCCCTGCAGGCGCCATCCATCCCCTGGACGCTCCTTTCTGGGCCCCGCCACGGCCCATCGAGGCTTTACTGGCCCAAGCGCCCTGTACCCCACTCGCCCGCCAGAGGCCCTGGAGCTGGTAGCTCTCAGCCTCGGAGCCTGCCCGTGGCTCCCAGGAGCCCACCGCGCTTGGGAGGGGGCACCATGGAGGCGGTCCGTGCTTCGGGGACCCGGAGTCGGGGCTGAGGCGGCTCCAAAAGGTTCTATTCCGGACCAGGCGGCACCTGTAGGAGATGCTGACCACTAGGACCAGAGGGGAACCCTGTGCGACAGCTCCTTCACCTGCCTCGCTGCCGCCCGGCGGGGACTACATTTCCCAGGGGGCGTTGCTGCGCCAGGACACGCCCACGGCCGGCCAGGGCGCGGAGCGTGCGTCCGTTGGGTTCTGAGGAGACAGCGGGAGGGCGCGGTGGGCGTGGCTAACGTCGGTGC